TTAGCATCTGCTATAAACACTATGATACTGGCATTGCATAGCTGTTTTCAGCCTGTGTATGTTCACTGTGTCTGTCCCTATCAAATAAACCATCAATAAATTATTGCAAATTATATTACACATATTCTTAGTGAATTAGACTGTATTTGACATGTGCCAGTGGCAAAATAATGAAAAAGACTTTCCTACATTTATCATAAATAAATAATTTATCTGTCCCATGGTGCTTCTCTGTAGAGTCCGCAAGAAAAATCAAACTTTCTCCACTCATGTGACAGAGCACTCCATGTCATGAAACTGCTTACAGGGGTACTCAAGCATTTATTATGGCATTCCCATAAAGTTGGAAGATGGCAACATAAAAAATACATTAAATTAAATGTAAAAGAATGTGAGTTTCTGGTCCCCAGTATGGGCTTAGTCCTACACCGGTCCTTAATTTCCCATAATGCAACTGGATGGTGTCATTTGTCAGACCCCCCTTCCCTCCACAGCCCATGTCTGCAGACTTTCTGTTAGAAATTTCCAAGCTGAGATAACTTTCATGATGTTATCAGGGTTATTCTCAACAAGTAAATATTATGATATAACATACATATTACATATTATAGGCTCCTTTAAAGCCACATATATACACATACATACATATTATATATATGACCAGTCATTTGTTTAGCTGATGCTGAGGTGGTGATTGATCAGCATATAAATTAATCAAATCAAATAATGTTGAGGAACAGATTATTCCTATTATGTCTGATAAAGATCTCTATCGAACAAAGTTAACTGTTGCTGCAGCAAAACCTTGGTAATCCACTGTAAGAGGTAACAAGAGCTTCATTTCCTTCATCTCAAAGGGTCAAGGGCACAGAGACAGGAGATCCTGCCAACAAATTAATCTCATAGTCAGTAAGAACTCATGTTACATTTCATAGCAGAGTCTCCCCCATGAGCTCTGAATAAAGACATGAACTCATGGCCATAGCTGTGCTTTGTTACCTTGTGTTTCCCTGTTTTCCTATTTCCTTGTGTCTCGTTTCCCCCTGTTTGTGTGTGTTTGTGTGTGGTCTCTCGGGTTCCTGACTCTGCTCTGTCTGCTCTGCTCACCTGGCTGCCATCAAGCAAACTATAAGAACTCTCATAGTCAGTCCCTTCTGGATCATAGCTCCAGTTACGGTTTGCTCAAGTGCTTCGCTTCTTGTTTAGTATATTTTGGATCAGTCTAGTTAGTTTTTCTTGTCTGTTGGTGTTTTTTCCTCCAAATTAACTCTGGTTCTTGTTCAAGATTCTTGGAACCTTGTTGATTCAGCCCGTTTCAACCAGTTTTGTGTAGAACAATTGTAATCAGACGCTTCATCCACAGACATCTGCGACCTGTAGAATATGACACACCCACTTTGGTTCCCAAGGAAAACCTGCTAACTTTACAGGTTCTGACCCAGTACATTTTTGGTCGTAATGCTCTGAACGGTTCAAAACTATAGGTGGTTGAACTGGAAGGGAGTCAGTATGTCCTGTCAGTAGAGAAGGCCTAGACTTACACCAGTTTTCTCTGTCTTCAGGATTTACCTGCTTGCCTTCCCATCTCGCCATCTAAAGCCTGTCAGATCTTATCTCTGGAAATCCCTCTGCCAAGCCTCCACTCGGATTCCTTCCTCCTCAATTCCTGGCAGAAAGTCCAGCCAACCAGCATCTCACCTATCCTGCCGGTGTTACAATAAAAGACTTGTTTTCACTTTACCTGCTTGTCTAGAGTCTACATTTGGGTTCAGCTTAAACACATTAAGACAGTTAACATGGTGAGGAAGAAAATTCACATTCTCATATTTGCTATTACCAAACCCCCATACCTACCTTTCCTGCCCTTTGTCTCCATCACATTTGGTCTGATCACTAGCTTTTGTATTACTTCCCTCTGACTTCGATGTTAATCATGTAACGTCTGGTGACTGCCTGATCAATGGCTACCATTAACATACTGTCTATTGTATTGGTCCATGTATAAAAGTACCTTATTTAATTTGCTCTGGGTCCACTTACCGACTCAGACCTGCTCTGTGTATGTGAGTTCACCAGGATGCCGGCATGCTTTATTAAACTGACACCACCACAGCAAACCTGAACTGGACTTGAATGATTTTTCTTCAACAATGGGAAAAACACATACTGCTTGTATATAAGTGCATTAAACATCTAGCAGACATTAAACAAGCATCCATTCAGACTAATGTGTCTGACCACCTGATGAATGAACTTTTCATTTAGTTCTGGACTTGTCTCCACTAATTTTGATTCAACAAAATATCTGGATTTTCTATTTTTATTTTTTTTGTTGCTAAGAACATTTGTCTGAAGCAAAAAGTGGGTTGTAGAGTATTTGTGAGCTGTAGAACCAAAAAAAAATCTGTATAGAGCTGCAGACTTTCATATCATCACTGTGAGTAAGCCCATTCATATGACCCTAACACTGGAGTCATTGTTAATATAAAGATATTGATTAGTGTGGCTGTAAAACATTCATTGTTTTCATTGAGAACAGTTATGAAATCAACTGGGCTGGGGGCAGGGGGGGTTGTTGTGCATTGTGATTGTGTGTACAAGGATTTAAAAGTGAGACCTTGTTTTCTGTGGGCAGTGAATTCACCCTCCTCCTTCATTCAGACAGTTGGAAAGAAGAGAGGGAAACACAGGGACAAAGTTCTGGCAAGGGTCCCGGTCTAGCAGGGGAACACGAGAGGCTCCAGAGGACTTAACCATTCAACTACTACAGCTATCACCAGAAAGTGAAGTCATCTGTTGTCATACTGTTTTGGTGAAACGGGCAGATCCTTACATAGGGAAACAATGATTTAAAGGATGTATTTTAATTAAAAATCTAATCAGGACTTGATGGTGCTTTCAGATGGTTGTTGTCAGTTTAAGATACAGATGAGTTTCCCATAAGGAAGTTGAACTCAAACAGCCCACAAAGACATTCATTTCACAAATTCCATCATACAGTTTACATACATACAGTTGATACAGTGACATTTTATAACTTACAAGCCTTTTATGAACTAATCATTTATAAGTTGTTGTTTAAAGATGTAATTGACATATTTCTTATTTGATTATCATTAGAAGTAATTATCAAACCATTTGTAAATCATTTTTAATTAGCTAAATTTACACATTGACGAATTACTTACTTATATCTTTTGTTTCCCCAAATAAAAAGAAACCAAATCAAACAAAAACAAACTTACCTCTAGTGTCTCTTTTCATTGGGCCTTTTTTTTTGGTATTAAGTAGTTCAGAGAAGTCTGTAGATTCTTAGTTTGACTGAAAATATGTTGCTAGTTGAGTTTTTATATTATTCTTTAATTCTTCGAGCACCACTCATAAATTCCAGATATTTATTTATTTATTTGGGTAGATATTTAAAACAAAACAAAAAAATCCGTCCAAATAAAACCAAAGCTCTCTGTACAGCTCCATAAGTAGAAAAGCTGAAAATGTGTTAAGTTTGAGTAAACCAACCATTTACGTTGATAAATGATTTAAGAAAAAGGCATGAAGAAAAGCTTTGTTGTGGCTTGTAAATACAACTTAAGTTCCTCAAAATGTTTCCAGTAAGACAAGACAACAAATGGCACCTATGTGTGAGACAGAAAACAGGTCACTTGCGTCAATTTACCTGTTTGATGTTTCAAGTCACTGCACTTTTTATTTGGAACGCTGTTCCTCCATTAATTTACTTTCTGTCAGGTGTGACTCAACACTCAGTGCTGACCAAACAAACAGATATATTCGTAGGCCTAAACAAACAGGATATTGAGAAAAAAGCAATGTAGTCATGACCACACAGTTATGATTAAGTAATTTTAAGATATAAGTTAACACTATTTTTATTTAGTGTGTCTTTCATGTATGTGTACATACAATATATAAAAACATTAATTATAGATTATTTTAAGCAATGAATAAGATATAAAGCTGCATTAATCAATATCTGGCCACTAGAGGACAGACCAACTCCAAAACAAACCACAGGCTCTCAGCCCTCCATCATTATAAACCCATGTGAGTAGTGTTTCACTTTCCTTTTACCTCTCTAGCTTTCACTAGGTGCTAATTTTGTGCTAAGCAGCTAGCATAAAGTGAATTTAGCTCAGTATTTTCCTAACGGCTGCCTATAGAGGTTGATGAAATCTGCATACAGAGACAATAAACCTTTTCACCGCAGACATTTTGACTCGTCAGGGCGGCAAAAGGACAGGTGTAATCAAAACAACTGCTTTCCGTTTAAGTGAGCCAGTTTCAGGGTCCTGGTATTGTGCTTGCTGGCTCACCATCATGGCTCACTGGAGCACTTGATAGGATAACTTGAGTTATTGGTAACAAAATGTGTTTCACCTGTACCTTTCCTGCTGAGACAAGGCAAAATGTGTGGCACGAAAAAGGTCTATATAAACATGTCAAGGTTAAACCAAAGCAGTGAGCAAAAACTTGTTGCCGCTGCTACAGAGTTGGGTAATACTTTTCAGAGGGTTTGGGCTTAATCAAGTAAACACTTTAAACTTATCTCTAGTGATATCTGTCATATAGACAGTTTTGGTCTTACAGGTTTTGAGACATCTTTCTCTGAGATATCTGCTGCCACCCAAATACAGTGGAGGTGACTTAAATGTTATTTATGTTGTTTCCAGCATTCACAGCTTTATTTAATTCAACCTTATTGCATTCAACCTCAGTGTGTAAAGGCTTTCTTTCACCATATGTTATGTCTTTGGCCTTCTTGCAACTTAGCATTGTGTTATGAGTGCAGAGACTTTCTCAGAAGGTGCTGCACTGAACATTTATATTAAAGATAAACAGCATCTTGTCTTTAAAGACACAATGTCAGACCTCGCTGTGAACTGGTGCTTCTGAAACTAAGAAATAGCCCAGGAAATAAATTTGATTTTAAAATTATTTTTCAAATCATTTAAAGAAAAAGTAGCTGTAAGTATGAGCGAATATAATTTAAAGCAATTTTTATTGATGACAACAAATGAGTGAAAATGAGTTGTAAAACATTTCCATCTATTGCAGTCATCGTAGAAGGCTGATCATCTTTTGGGAACGGTTTTTCAGCAATGGTATCCATTTTGTCGTTGTAGCAACATGGATGAAGTTCGTGGATCAACTGGCGTACCTGTCGATGGCGGTCAAAAATGAAAAAAGTACAAAGACAAACTGCACACTTAATTGCCCAGATAAGTGTTGAGGTAATGTGTAAAATACTATTCAGATGAATGGGCAGAGTACAATCATTCATACATAAAATATGTACAGAGAGGTACATGAACACTCAGACACTGTTTTTCAATTGCACAGTATGATAAATGGGTGTAACTGCAACAGAGGAGGAATGAAGCCTGATTTCAAACTTTCAAATGATGAAGCACCGTGGTTTATAAGTGATGCTTCAGTTCTGAATCAAAAAATAAATTATTCTGCTTTATATTTGGAGAGGCAGAGAATGGAGATGTAAGCCAAAGATTATTCTGGCGTACTTGGCACCTCTAATCTGCAGTTTCAGAGTACACAGGCTCTGTAACGTCTTCAGCAGGTCCATTTTCACAATAAAGCAAATGCACTGTTAGTATGAGCATGAAATCTACAGTAATAATGCAAAAGCTAAAACAAAGACGGTAAAGAATACACAGGTGAGCATAAGGTCATATTGGCAATGAACCTAAAAAGCACTTCAATGTAGTTGAATCAGTTTCAATCTTTAACTTCCCAAGCGATGAGATACGAGAGATGGTGCAAGAGTAGAGAGGCTAACTGTACGTCTGTTCACGCATAGAAGTTCATATGTAATCGTTGTATTTCTGAAATCTTCTTGCCATGAGACCGAACTTGTGAGTGAACAGCCGGTTTCATACCACACCACAAAACGCCGCCAGGCATCCCGCGGACAGAAACCTGTGTGGTTTCTGACGTAACTGACGACCAAAGTGTTCAGGAAAAAAGTGCATCATATTTTGTCAAATACTGAGAAATAGCTGAACATTAAAAACAACACTCTTATAATAAACATCTGAAATATCTTCTTTTTTTTTCACTAGTGCAACAACAGACTGGATCAAATGAAGAGAAACGTTATTAACCTGCAGGCAATCAAAGCTCTTTAAACATCTAATAATTTTCTTGTCACAGTAGCAGAACAGTTAAGAAGGCAACTTAATGATTGATGCTTGAACACAAACATGCCAACATTATACACATCGCTCTTTTTTATATAGAAATAAATAGCTGAATTATCATCTTTATCCTCTTCTTAAATAATTTCCATCTCTATATGACTCTGATGCACATTTAATATAAAGTATCTAATACACAACTGCAATTTCAACACTAATGTTATACATAATATAATTCTCTATGTTTATCTTTCATTCACCTTTGGAGAGAAAATGCTTACAGAATGAAGAACTGTAAACTTCAACTTTTTCCACTCATAGTTATGACCTTAATATTATATAACATCAAATGTTGGTCCTTTTTTTTCTGGCTTTTGTTGTTGTTGTTTTTTACAAACATTATGTACAGAGTAGCTGATAGCGAAGGCAGGATTGTCTAAAACTCAAAATCAACAAGTGCTTTGTGTTTTTCTCTGTTGTGTCAGCAAAGTTTTACACCTTTCCCACAAACACATCTCCCCCAATGAAAACCGAGCAGACAATCAGTCCCAGTGTAGGATAATAATACGCAGTACTGGAAGAACATGAAGAAATGCACATCCACAACTGTTCTCACACACTGACCTGCAACATCATCACTACAATATGCAGCTACACAAGTCCTCATAAACATTTTTTTGACAATGAAGCAGAGACCACAAACAGCAGCTCATAGCTCTCCTCGTCAGTGAGTTTTTGAATTTTAGAGCCCACATGACACCTCCTCAGCATTCCTGGAAACTGTCACCTTGCTCTGTTGAAATCACCGCCCACGAATGTTAAGATGTGTTGCAGAGACAAGGCTAGTTGCCTTGTGACAAATGAAGTGTGCCAGGTAAAAACGAACAACTTGTTAAAGGACCAGTGTGTAGGATTTAGTGGCTTCTATCAGTGAAGTTGCAGATTGCAACCAACTAAAGGGCGCTCGCCTTCCAAGCATGTAGGAGAGACTACAGTGGTTGCAACATTAGTGAAAACATAAAAGGCCCTTTCTACAGCCAGTGTTTGGTTTGTCCTTTCTGGCCTACTGTAGAAACAAGGTGGTTCACATGGCGGTCTCCGTAGAGGAAGACCTGCTCCTACTGTAGATAAAAACAGCTCATTCTAAGGTAACAAAAAGACAATGATTCTTATTTTCAGGTAATTTTACATTAATGAAAACATACCTATGAATATTATATTCCCTTTCTGCCAATAGATCCTCCTAAATGTTACACATTGGACCTTTAAGCAACCTATGGTAGGCGTGTCGCGAGGGGAAGAGACGTAAATTTCTGCCTTATGTGTGAATCATTTTTCAACCTGTTTCAAAACGGTGTGCATGATTTCTTTGAATCAATGTGATTGTAAGCGTCTAACACGAGCTCTGTTTAAAGGGGTACTCCAGTGATTTTGTATTGCACTTTCATAAAGTGACTGATTTTTAAAAAACGGTGCATCAGAGGCAGAAAAATCTTGACTTTTGGTCCCTAGTGTGGGTCAAGCTACAAACATTCTGGATCCTTCCCTTCCTACTGAGTCTTTTCTATCGACCTTCTACGCCTTGTAAACACATTTTTCAAACATGTCGCTAGCTTGTAATGCAGGTTTCTGTGTTGCAAATTTGTAATTTCAAAGCTGAGATAAGACTGATATTATGAAGATTATTTTCAGACTTGACAAAGCTCCTCCAGAGCCCATAGAAGACATTTACAGCTGTTCACAGACTGAGTAGTACTCTTTATATATTTAAACTGATCTTGATTGTTGGATCTCCCCTTTAAGTTGTCTGCAGCACGAGAAGTGAACAATATGTGTCGCCATGGTAAGTATTGCTACTTATACTTATTGAGATTTTCTGCAACGTACCCTGAACTAAACTGTCGCCATGAATTGCACCAAATCAAACTCCTAATTTGAAGGTGATACTGAAGAGCTGATCCCTTGGCTTTGAGTTCTGCAAAATAGTAAAAGGTAACACATGTTCCATGCTGCAAAGAGTACAAAGTGTTATATCACACCAGCTGGTCATTGGCTGTGTAAGTGCTCAGAAAACCCAGCAGAGGGAGCCAGAGGATGACAGCTGAAAGTTGTTCAGGGCTTCAGCCATGGCAAGCACTACTTATAGGAATGGCACTGTTTAGTATGATATATAAACACTGTAACACCTGTATACACCTGGAGACCATGTTCCATATGAAACACAACAACCCTTATGTTCAGTAAGAGCTGCTTCCACTCAAGTCAAATTCCAATAATGTAAGTTAATTTTGATTTGAAGAGATTAAACCGCTTACATGGTCCCTCCTCCCTCACAAATGGCACATTGGAGAAAACTCACTGGAATGAGGACAGACACTGTTACAAATGGCACCAGTTTTTTGAGAGAAATGCATTATGGATCATCTTCCGTCTAAAGATACTACAACCATCGAAAAGTCTAGGTTTGTGACACGATGCTGTTCACATGAGGAAGCAGAGGACGGTAGAAGAGGCTAAATGCATCGCTGCCATGCAGTGGCTAAAAGACTGTCAAGGTCTGCGTGTTACAGGGAGTGCTGTCCTTGCTCTCTCCACTGGAGCTGGTGCAGCATGTTTCTGTTCTGGGTGGGAAGCAGTAAGTGTTGAAAGTTGTCCGTTGTCCTGCTCCAACACATAGTAGTTCGGGTCAGGCAGGTTTGAAAACCATTTATTAAATCCTCAGCTGTATGCATTCACACATCCGCACGCACACAAACACAAAGCGCCTGTCTCAAGACTCTTAATCTTGTACTTCTGCGGAAAGTATGTATGCTTTATAATGTGCTCCTGCCCACACGAGCTGATGGTGTTGAAGGTAGTCTTAAGTATATGTCAAGCACAATGTAGATGCAGACAGTTAAATACAGCGCTGTCACCTGGCTCCAGGCGTTTCAAGAAATGGATCTGGCTCTGTGCGACGACACGATCCATTTTTACGGTGAAAGCAAAAAAGGACTGAGAAAGAGGAATCGGATAGTTTTGTTGGGCTATTTGAGTCTGTGAAGTATTAGACGGGCCTTTTGTGTGATATATAAGTGCCATTGTTAGCCTAAATAAGCCTCCTGACTGGTTTCAGTCAACATGAGGGAGATACTGATTTCCCCTTACTGGAATAGTGAATTAGTTTTTTCTGTTTGAAGGTTGTACTTGAGGATTATGCACATTGAGCCTCGGCCCCCTGTTCATCATGGCGATCTTCTGTTGTTTCTGTCGGTGCTGCAGACGTATTCAAACCCAGCGGAGTGGGCTCAAAACAGCTGGATCTTTTTGATTGACTGGAGCCAAGATGGCGCCTTTCCAAGAGTCGAAGAATCTGCACAAAAGATGTTAGCAGAGACTGTCTGCTTTCACGTGGAGGATTTTGGAGAAGCCGGGTCTCTTCTTCAGAGCCTGGAAGAAAAAGGCAGGAAGGGATATCAGAATCAACATTTTTTTAAAAGCAATCTGACAGTGGTCCATTTCCCTGTTGCCTTCATGCCTTGAGGTTTGCCTCCATTAGCAGAAAGTGTGTACAGTGACTGATGTATGACAGAAAGCTATAAAAAAACTGTAAAGCATTGAGGTGCAGCAGGTTAAGGATGACTGTCTTGCTTCATAAGCTTCGCCTCTGCAGAACCCGCTTCAAAAAATGGATGATTAAACATGAGAGGGGAACTTTGGTTGCCTTTTCACAGCAAACTTAAAACAGGGAGGGATAAAAATAAATCGTAGTTGTTTGCAGCTTTTGGAGAGGTTACCTAACTGCTGTGAGCAAGCCCACCATCTTGAGTGTAATATCCAAGACGAACACACTGTAAACTGACTCATAAAAACAAAACACAAATAAAAGCTGGGATTTCACAGCTTTTATATCTCCGTTTGTGTGTGGTCAGCTATAAGGATGACCCAAACCTCTCACAGTAAGCCTCTGCTCGAGTGAGTTAGCACAACCAGCCATCAGTGGGACTTCACGGATTGAGTCACGGTTTAAATGGTGTGTAGTTCTGATAAATATAGATGTGTTTTATCCTCTGAACAACTATCGGCCACGCTGTTAGTCATGTGCATACAGTGGTGCAAAACCCATGTTGACATGTTGGCTGAAAAAAGACACTTAATTCACATGAGAGTGCTTAACAGAAAGGAGACCTCTGCTAACAGAGCTAACATCCCTGTTACCGTCACAAAGTCAACACTAGTAGTTTTTTCAGGTATTTGTCCTTTATTTTCCTGACAACGTTTTATTTTCCCCCTTTATTCCGCATTACTGCACACCTTCCCGACCTCAAGGCCGGTGCACGCATGACAGACATAACATGACGAAAAACAACATAACGAGGAGATGAGAGGGAGACTCGTCCCTTTTTGAACTTTCAGTTAGCTTTGCACCAAAACAGCGGGTAGAAATGTCCTTCAGAGAAACCAAGAGAGCACTTTTACTTGATTGAAGAAATTGAACCTTGAGTCTGTATCAGAATTCAACCTCTGGTTATACAGTAAAAGAAAGTGTGGCCCTAATGGTGGCACTGAGGGAGTTGGGAGTTGGGACTATGTGTGCACAGAAAATATTATTTTTTAATGTGAGGACATATGCTTTATCTGTGAATTGCTTTATATGTTGACATGTGTGTAAAACTGAAGTGTGTGAGTGCTACAGGTGCTGTAGGTGACAGGTGTTACCTGCAGCTTATTAACCATCTCATCAAAGAGTTTTCTAGCTTCAGGGCTGTTGGGGTCCTCAAAGTAGTCTTCTATACCGATCTGAACCACGATGGACTTCAGGTTGCGGCAAACACCTATGTGAGTAGAAGGACGATTTAGGCAGCATTAATTATCTGGGTTTCAACAGGGTGTTCCCATAATAAATTTGTTTTTTATTTCTATTCTTAGAAAACATAACCAAAAGGCATAGCTGCCTACATGTAACCTTATCATACATTGTTTTCAGGGGATTTCAGACAGTATGTCTTATGTAGTCAATAAAGCAGCATTCAAACTCACTATTGAAGTGGAGCAGGGCTTTGGGGGTAACTGGTGTGGAGGTGAGCACCAGCATCTCCAGACCTTTCAAGCCCTCTCTGCAAACCTCTGCTGCCACCTCCTGGTTGATCTCGCTCACATGATCCAACTCCAGCACCTGCAGGCGCATGCAGTTCCTCGCTGGGGTTGAGGGGGATGAATGGAAGTAAGGAAATGCACAGGTAGGGACGATAAGTAGGCGCGTGTCAATATAATAATTGCGAAGATCACAGTAGTACAGTCAGGCTTGTTTAAGGTCTCAACCAATAGTGCTTAAATTTCTCATTATTATAAGGAATATATGAATAGATTTACTTGAGTATGAACAAGACATTGGTTAAATGCAGTTTCTGTGCTGTCCCACTTTATGACAATAATATCTTGTCATCATCTTACCACCGTGTTTCTGTTCCTGCATATGAGATTGCAGTTGTGATGAAATACTTTAGAAATGTCTTATGTTTTAAGTAAGTAAATAAGTTTTGTAGCTAAAACCACAGAGAGGAATTACATTAGAAATGGAATAGTCCTTTTACAAGCAATATTTACCTAGAGAGGCCAGGCCCTGAATGCCACATCCAGCCCCGCCCACACCAAGAGCGCGGAGGTGTGGCCAACATCTTCCAATTGTCTGCAGGCATCGGTTACTGAAACGAGCAGGTTGTTGGCTAAAAGAGACACAATGTAGTCCACGGTCATTCATTTAATAACCCACAGTATTGATGTCATAAAATAGAATATTTGGGATTAATCAAAAGTTGCAGAGGTACAGTATTTTTCTCTTTTACCATGGGTGTAGTGGCGCCACCTGTAGGGAGATGATGTCTCTACAACCTGCTCCGAGGGCCCAGATCACCTCCTGACCAACTGGGTCTGTGGCACTCCTGGAGAACAACAAGTGCACACAATTAGTGTGTATATGTAATATGTGACACTGAATGTCTACAGCATGAGAGTGCAGACTTATGGACTCATTAAAGCAAAGTCACTGTGGTAAAACTAAAATATTTGTGCATAATACAGTGGACCGAGAAATTTTACCTATAGGTGACAGCCTGCAGAGCTCGGCAGTAGCAGCTGGCCAACCAGAGGGAGCGATCTGTCAGCAGGTTGGGGCAGTGTGAAATCTTCAATATCAGCAGGTTACTTCCTGTGGCCTTTAACAACGCCTCCAGACCTTCCTCCAGACAGCCACTTAGATGGAAACATAAGGGAAGGTCAACAAAAAAAAAAAGAAAACAGACAGACAGAGTGGAAGTAAGTCTCCTGTCCTTCACAACAGCACTTCTACAATTTCTAGCACATAACAAAATGTTCCTGCTATGTTTGAAGCAATAGATGCAGGAAGCAGTATGTCTTTGCATTGTCCACACAATTTGATGATCTTTCTTTCACACAAAACTTTAGACACAAACAACTTTACTTCTACCAATCATATCAAACTTCTACTTATCTATCTATCTTTAGGAAATGAAAGCTAGTATTTGTCATGCTGATCATAATCAAACGGCATAAAAATGTCAGCATTCAATCACTTATGTTCCTCTTGGTGGCATTCGCTCATCAATGACAAGGATGTCACTCAGTTCAATAGTTTGCAAAGCAATCTGCTCATTGAAGCCAAAATAAACAATGTAGTAGTAGTAGTACACAATAAGTATATATATATACAATAGGCATTTTGTGGGAAACTGTGTGCAGCTGTAACATCCTATTATATGTATATCTATGTCTCTGTTTGTGTGTCTCACCGTGTGCTTTTCACATAGTCCTCCTTGGTTTCCTTCTTTCCCCGCTGTCTTGGTTTGAGGTTTTGCAGGATGAGGGAGTGCGTCTGAGTGCACCACTGAGACATTATACTTAGGAACTAAGGGACAAACGTGGAGATCGGTGAAAATATTCATTATACAAAGCAAAAGGCAATACAACTAAATGCACCACATGCTACTGCTTTGATAATGCTACTGACTATTGACTGCATGCAGTATCCAAATGGGCACCTTGGAAGAAATGCGAGCATTCTCTAGCAGCACTCTGGTCCACACGGCTGGGTGACGGGCCACAAACTTCCAGTCACGGCAGACCTCAGCAGCTCTCAGCAGGGTTTTAGTATCCAGGTAGGTGAAGATACAGAAGAGAGCTGCACGCATCTTCAGGATCTCTGGACTGATCACTTCGTTGGATTTAGACGGGCTCTTTTCATGGCGGCATGGCTTGTAGACCCCATCAGACCGACCTGTGGTAAGAAAACTGTTGTTTAACCCTTTAACACAATGTGGGTTGGTTGGGACTATTATGACCTCTGCATTGAATTTGCACTTTTCAGGGTTTTACTACCATTGTGGAGCACCACACTGCTTTGATGATACCATATTTTATAATGTATATTCTGCTGTGTACTGTATTGTTCCTTGATTATTTGACTGAGTGCAAGTTCTTTCTTATGATCACCATGGGAGATAATCCAAGAGTCTGATCCATATATTCACACTCATGTAACTTTTCACACTAGCAGCCTATTCCACAGGCCCTGATCATCGACACCAACAAATCCAGTTTTCACTTGGTCCACTACCTAAACATCTTAGTTCTGTCAGAAACCCAGATGTAATGTTTGTTTTCAGCCTCAATCATGAATTTCATATTAGAAAAGTCCTCCAACCTAGTGACTACCATCTCTGGGATATTGCTATATTGTGTTCAATTTTGAGTTTCAAAAGATACTAAATCTATCACCCATGCTTTCATTTCCTCACATTTGGACTACTGCAGTTGTCTTAACTAGTATAAATCGGAAAACAATTTGCAGAATTCAAATTGTGCAGAATGCCCCGCAGCTATTCAGCTAAAACTAAGAGTAGAGAACATACTGTGTTACTCCCCTTCAAATGTCCTAAGCCTGAATGCCAGTGTGTTTTAGAATTCATTTTAGACTTTCTACTTATCAACCTGCATGCATTTTGACGTCTTCAGTAGGAACGTATTGGAACCTATTATATTTGTTTTGTTTTCTTCACCTTATTATTATTATTATTATTATCACTAGTATTATCCTTTTCCTGATTTTGTTATTTTTGCTTGATTGTCCTTAATTTTTTTATTGTTTCATGTTTTCTGTTTGTAAATTACCCATTTATTATTACTGCTACATAAATAAACTTTACTATGGTTATCATTATATATGTTGAAAACATACATTTAATAAAAGACCAAATGAATGTAACTTCGTAACCCTGAGCTTGGAGAGATGGTCTTTATTTCACTTCTATTTCTGTTAACATGCTAATTTTCTAAAGAACGAATACCAGTAAATGCCACTTAAACAGTGTTAAACAGATATTCTGTCACATGGTGGCGCCATACTTCAACAAGACACTAAATGAGATTACATAATTTTTTTTTCTTGTTTCCATCTTTTCATTCTCTCCATTGCTATCTATTGGCTGATACCATGTGTCCAATCCAAGCCTGTCTTATTCCTCTCAGCAAGATTGCTCCTAGATGACTCATTTCATCTTTGGCCTTGGAAGGCGTCTGCTCGAAACCATCGGGGCTATGAACCATTACTTACACTCTTACTCTCTCTTCCTCTTTCTCTCTTTCTTTCTTTCTCTCTCACACACACACCACCTACGCTCAAGACTGCTAAATGAACTAAAAAAGCCAAGCTGTGTGTTACATGCTGAGAAAAAACTGTGCTTGTAGATACATACCATCTGATAAAACCTGGCAGAGACTCTCCCAATAAGGAGAACTACGTCAGAGCAGAGGAATGCCAGAAACATGTTGAGCGTTACGTGAGAAAAGTCTTTGATTTAATGGTGCAGTCATAGCAGTTCATTCGAATTTGTCAGAGGGCTCTGGCCCAGTTTTGTTCCTTCCCAGACTGCCTCAGTCCACCTGGTATTTTAAAAGAAACCTGACAGCAGTTGGAGAAAAATGGAGGGCAGCAGCAGTGAGTTTAAGGATCTTGGCAGGATAGGAAGTTAACAGAGAGATGTACAATCTGTGGTGGATCTGAAGAAATGTGCGGGCATGATTGGCGGTCTCACTTGGCTCGGTCGTAGAAGCAAAGCTTAGTATGAGACGAAGAACTGAGATGATACAACGGGCAAACACTGCTCTCGTAAATACAGTCACACAGAGAAAGTGTATAGCAACAACATCAATGTATGACTTGGTTTACTCATCATCTATAACAGATGTACTGGTGGTAAACAAAACTGTGTAAAAACCTCATGAAAAAAGGACTTCATTGACTTCGTTCACTGCAACCAAGATGGATCATATTGGGTTGCATGCGTACACCCTGACCTGTATGTCTTCATCTTGTCCCTGATGGATTGTTGGTTTTGGTTGTTTGTTTCTCTAATGAGAGTTTATTACAAAACCAAAAAATCTAATTTGTTCTACTTAAGTCAATTTTATTCTCCTTTTTCTGTTTTTAAATATTGTTTTACTGCATTTATTTGACATAAAGCACTTTTTTGCCTCTGAATTTTAAAAATGCTATACTAATAAACTGTGCCTACATAAAATACAAATACTACCTAATTGTTAAGAACAGACATAATAAAATTTTTTGTTCTATCACAAACTATGAACTATACTATTTATATAAATAGTATGAGTAGTATATGTCATCATGAACACAAATATTACTTTTTCATACTGCACTTTGATTGACATTAAAGGTCCAGTGTGTAACATTTAGGAGGATCTACTGGCAGAAATGGAATATAATATTCACAGGTATGTTTTCATTAGTGTATAATCACCTGAATATAGGAATCGCTGTCTTTTTGTTACCTTACAATGAGCCTCTTTTAGCTGGACCTATTATCGTCTTTCATGGAGTCCGCCATGTTGTTTCTACAGTTGCTGTAGATAGGGATTTTTGCTTTTTCTTTGCAGCCACTGTAGTTTCTCATAAATACTTCCCAGCCTGTTCTCATTCCCAGGTCGTGAAAATACAGACGCAAGCAGTGTTCAGTTTGTTGCAATCTGCAACTTCACCGCTAGATGCCACTAAATCCTACATACTGGTCCTTTAACTCAATTATCTGCATCTATCATTCTATGCATAAAATCCCAAAACGTATTCCCTTACCTGTTGGTTATTATCAGCTTAAAACTGAAGTTCTTTTTGACATATTTTTGACCATTTATTTGCCTCATCATGCTATAAAAATCATATATGTGAGTGTTGACTGTAGAGGGCTGTAACACCCTCTATCCTTAGATGATTTGTATAACAATAACCTCCAAACATTTGTGTTAATGTTTGCGATCGTGATTAAATTACTTCAGAGTTGAAGTGTTTACACTGTTGTGTCTACACACTGCAGCAGATATGGGGCCTCTTTCCTCCATGTTTACCATATATGCTCATGGCTAATGCACACTCAGTTTGTAGAATGAGCCTTGGTCAGTGACACAGCTCCAGCAACATTACAGCGACTGCAACTCAACCTGACCTAGATCCACATCAGTGACTTATCTCATGGGAGTCATTTTATGGCCTTTATTCTGTGATTCCTGGCTCCCATGTGTCTGAGCTGCTGACTGGATCTCAGATTGGAGAGAGCGTTTGACATTTCTAAGAATAACGGGTCTGAACAGAGAGCTTTTACCTGTGTTAGGGCGATATCCCGCCCTGCCGTGGTGAGGATAGGGAGCGGCTGACTGCTGGACTTCAGCCACAGCTCTCCTCTCTTGTTCCCACATCTCCACCTCAGACTCGGTGGTCCGGGAGCCCACGTCTGACACGTCTCCTTCCTCGCCTTCAGTGCTGTTCCTGTAAGGTCGCCGCTGCCAGTTCTGGATAGCCTGTTTACGAAGCCCCCAGTTCCTTGATCCACCACCGCCACATCCAGGGGAGCGCTCATAACCCCCCTCACCCAGCCGGCATTGCATGTGATAGTACTGAGCCTCGGGACACTCCTCCATGGGATGCATCTCCACGCTGTCACTGTCATAACCTCCAGAGCCCTGTGAGACGGACTTGATCCGCCCTGATGCTCTGCAGGAAAAGAGAAGGAAGTGTACTGTTGTTACTATAAGCGATGATTTAATGCTATGTCGCTTTCTTGCAGAGAGTTAGATGAGAAGATCCATACCACTCTCACATCTAAATATAAAGGTGTTTAGCTTAAGACTGGAAACGGCCAACTTGGCTCTGTCTAAGGGTAACAAAATGCCCCTTTATAAAGTACCTTTTACAACTAATTCATTAATATGTCAAAAACTTAACTTATAAATTTACATGTTGTGGATTTACCAGGGGATACGAAATATTGGCCAGGCGACCAGTGGAGACTCCAGGAAGTCCCTGGCCAAAAAAACAGTCCTCCCCTTTAACTTTGGCAAAATCACAACCTTTTCATTTTTACACTTGCTTTCTTCTTGCACCTTTTTTTTAAAGTGGCATCGATCTTTTCACCTAAGTCTCAGAAAAAGAGTGAATAAGCATATTTGACAAAATGTTGAATCTATTCATGATGCACCATCAGCTCTGCTTTTAACAGACAAAATATCAATATGTCAGACCAGAAGAGGTCTATTATTTTTAATTTAGAAAACGCTAAACATTTTACACAGCCTCATGGAGATCAGTTTGATTCTGTTGTACCATCAATTCCACTCATATGCTTTTTACTTTTATGTATTATATTGTATTACTTGAATACATTTACACAACAATTACTGGATAGACTGACAATCAGATATTTGTATTTTATAATTTTGTTTCTGATTATCATGCATGTTTTCAGAGAGTTAAATTATATCTAATCATGCAGAAGATGAAACTCATACAACAGATGAACTGAACATAAGTATCATAACCTACTGGCACACTCACGCATACACACAATACACATAAAAAAGCACCAAAATCCTTGGCGAGTGCTTGATTGTTCCGATTATTCGTCTCTGTAGAGACTTCTGTCTCTTCAGCACAAAGTAACAAAGTAAGGTCCACTGAGGCAAACAGCAGTATTGGTATTTAATTTGACAGTAGTGGATGCACTTCTGGAACCATAATTAACCACAAATAGATACTGCATGACTGAAGGAACAGCTGCATTTCAGAAGATTTATAGTAGAATGAGGGCAGTTTTTGTACATACGTACTGCTACAGTACTTAAAATAACCTCCCAGCAAATACAAGTAATGAGCAGTTACAAATATCAGCCTCTCAAAAAGTAGGACATTTTTCATTCTTTTCTCCATTTCTTCCTACTCAGTACTCCCCCCTCTTTCTTACAGTATAATATGAAGAGTGGATGCTTCTGCATACATAATTTTAGGAATAAAAATGAAAAACAGACGATACTGCAGGTACCCCTTATCAGTACTTGCAAGGGAATAGGAGGCACAGAAGATGAAGATTCATGTCATGCCACATACTTTGAATGAACTGAGATTGTGTAAAAACAAAACATTGCTGTGTGTTTGAGGTTTCAAAAATCTAAACTGGGTCAGCGACAAAACTATGATTCATTACAGTCGAATGAGCTGGCTGTATAGCCTAATCAAACCTGTTCTAATTTTTTGTCAACATTAAAATCAATAATAAGACATAATTTGAGACAATCACAAGAAGCTCAAAATTACCAATTGCTGATTAATGTTTTCAGAGTGTGTATCCAGAATGCAAAGTGGCATCAGAGAGTAAATATAAAACAGCTTCATAATCAGAGGAAGAAACACAGTTGCACTCAGGCATTTTGGTATAAAATTGACCCGTGTTGACTAATGACTGTTGCACAAATATTTGGTGACGTCAATATCTATAAATCACTAAAACTGTTCCACGCTTAAGGTTACGACCTTTTTTATATCTAGTGGCAAAAATATTTTGTCCCTGATGAAGAGCAATAAATAACCATAAGACAGAAGGATTAGAGGGTTGTTGTTGGGTCACTTTCTGTACGTGTCGTGCCATCAATGATTCAATGGGGAAGGCCTGACAGGATCTGCGTGACGTCACATAAGGAAACACATTCACATACCAACTGGGAATGACAGTTGTGTTAGTCAGAGCACAGCCATGTGTCTGAAATCTCCAGCAGGGACCCAGAAATACTTCAGTCACACCTCATGCAGAGAGACGTCCAACCTGCACCTCACTGCTTCTTCTGAACAAGAGTCTGACTAAAAATGGGATCTATTCCATTTCATATCACACTGTTCAATACTATACGACATATGAATGTTGTAATGTGGATGTGTGAGTATGAAACAAGATGCAAGGGGACAAGACACTCAATTCTCGGTTTTAACACAAACTGCATGTAGCAAACCTGTTTTTCTGTAAGTGCCGTAGGGCTGCAACTTAAGATTAATTAATCAATTTATCAGTCACAAAATGGCGCAAAAATGTCCATCACAAGTCCTCAGAGCCAAGGGTAAAGTCTTTAATTAGCTTGTTTTGTCCACCCAACACTCTATAGTCAAAATATATTGAAAGCAGAAAATCCTCACATTTGAGAGACTGGAACACGGCAAATGATTTTGCTTGATAAATAACTAGCAATTATTATCGATTATGAAAATACATTATTTCTATGTCAACTAATAGCTTAACCTAGAAATCTAAAAAGTGCTTTAGCATAAAGTTTAGCTTTTTGCACAATGAATGAATGTAACAGAAACCTTATTTTATATTATCTGAATCTACAATTTAACTGCAGTATAATCTCTCTCTCTTACATGGATTTTGAGAGACAAAAACAATAAAACAGGTTGTAACCATGAACATTTCCACTGTTTTCATTGTTTTTTCTGCAGTGCTGTAACCAAAGGTCCAAAGGCCCAAAGGCCAGGGACAGTGAGCACAGTAGATGGTGGTTAAAAGCTTTGGGACTCCAGAGGTTCTGTTATATTTCCACATAACTGACAGATTGTGTTTTACTACAGCACCAAATTCACTTGACAGCAAAAAGACAGAAAATCTCCAGCTGGACCAGAAAACCAGTTTTCTTTCCAAACACATAGACAGAAAGTCTTCCTGATGCAATGATTTCTAATTAAACCACGTGTAACATGGCGATTATGAGCTCATCTAATCCTCTTTTTACTTCTGAATGGTTAAGTGTACCATACAACTTATACCATAAATCTGATTATGGTTCAGTGGTGGTTTATGCTACATTTCAGAGGTGTGAAGTAATCTGTAAATGTGGATTAGGAGCATCAGTGTGCTGACTTACCCTGTGCTGGGGGAGGAACGCCGGTCTGACACTTGGTACATGCCTCTTGTGCTCCCAGAGAGGCTGGAGTTTCTCTGCAGAGACACAAACATGCAGATTGGAGGGAAACAAAGAAAAGCGTTATTAGTAAAATTACTCAGTACCCTTAAGTGTCCTTAGACATGCCCTTGGCTCAAATGTTGTGATTCTGTATTCCTAAACTCTTGTGAGAGTGGATGACAGACCTGATGCTCTGGATGCAGAGGATTGTTTATCGTGATATATGAGGACATTTTCTAAAATATAATAAAGATAATACATTCAGAACTACAGCATGAGATATACAGAATTTAATTTCAAAGCAGCTGTCAAAATAAGTCAGCACTGCTATAAATATGAAAAGGGTACAGAAGGCCCAGTGAAAAGACAATAAAATCAAATGTAAATCAAAAAGTAGCCTATTTGCTGTTATCATCTAGCCTATATGTATTTCAAAAAAGGTGTGATCGCGCAGATGCTTAGCAGATAAAACTGAAACACAGCAACACAAATGATGTTCAAATTAAATAAATATGTATATTAGTTTGATCTCTCTTCAGCTTACATATTTGAGCATTGACATTATGACTGGTGACAGCATCAGCCATAAATCATCAATGGGCAAATATTTTCCCCAAACAATAATATTAACCGCTGATCATAGATCATAGATAAGTTAGGCAATAGCAATAAAGTAATAGATTACTGGGGTAATTTCATCCTGAGGGCGGTACAAAAGTAAAGCTCAAGTGATTGTAAAATGGGAAGCGTTTATTCTCTGGGGAGAATTCATATAATGAATACATTTGTCTATTTTATTGTGATATTTCTCTTTGAAAAAAATGGCCCTTCGGTGGCAGTACAAGACAGGAAGAACAGGAATTCCCACAGAAAATGTCATGGAAATCCAGTGATTAAGGTGTGACCAATAATAGCCACAAACATTTTCATACAAATGCCTACACATCAATATCTTGTGTCCAATGTTGACAATTTGTCTTAAAGGTAGCAATACAGGACAGGCCATGGATTCTGTTCTCTTGACCAAAGTGTTGGAATAACAGACTCTAAACCCTCATTCTAGCAACACAAAAACCCTCATCATCTTTCCAACATCTTCCTTTGGTTGTAGCTCTAAAAGCAGGTGAGAATTTGTCAAGTGTATTTAGTTGTGGGTGTGCAGCCTGACTCTCACTCTCTCTATTTGCCTGAGAGCTAAATCCTCCCAGTCACTCTTTCATACACCACTCAAAGCTGCCTGTGCACTAAAGTATGCTGTGTGTAGTGTTTGTACGTGTGTGTGTGTGTGTGTGTGTGTGTGTGTGTGTGTGTGTGTGTGTGTGTGAAGTAGTGCCAGGTGGGACTCTGTGTACCAGACTGGCGACGTGCCACAGAGGGAAAGCGTGCACAAACACAGACACTGTCACTCTCTCTCTCCTTCTCTCTCTCTCTCTTTCTTCTTTCGCTGCTTCTACTCACACAGCTTGTTTTTGGCCTTGTGCCACTGAAAATGGACCGTGGAAGAAACAGGCAGACACCATCCATGGCTCTCATTCCTGGCCAGCCTGCAACCAGTGAAGGCACAACAGGGACAAATCTCCCAGAAATTGTTGGAACAAAATGCATTCATCAGAAGGTAAAAACTAAATCTGGTGACCTAAGTTTGATCTTAACTCTTAACTCTTGTTGCTAAAAGACCAAAGATTTATAAAACACTACGATTGAAATAAAGCTATCTTCACCTTGCAATTCCTGTGAATAAATGCATTAGATTCAGCTTGCATTGAACTAGAGAGAGCAGGAAACGAGTCATCCATCCCTTTTCTCACTGTCAGTCCTAAAATACCTCTGTGGCTCAAAAAACCTGTCTCCTAGGAGATGAGGGCAACCTCGCTGATGCTGTGACAGAAGGATGTAGAGTGAGGTTGTGAGGGTGTGTGGTTGGTTTGGATGGGTGACATCTCTGGGCTTCCCTTGACAGTGTAACAAGGTGCCAACCACCCTGTGATTCCACACTTGTACTTGTCACGTTGATTATTCACAGTCCTACAATGCACAAGCATGAAACTGACTGATGTTTAAATCCAAGGAGAGGACTTCTAAATTTAGGTAGCAGCGTTTCAGGTCAGTCACAGGTCAAATGGGTCTCTAATTTAGCTTAAGGAAGAGAAAAAAGGTATGTATCTTTTCATCATTCTGCAACAGGTTACTTACAGGATTATAAAAGAGGTATCACTCACATTATTCACTGTACAGTATGACTATATAAAGTGACTGATCCGAGGATGTCAACAACATCTTTGCACTTAGGAGGAGAAGATTTTTTACTGAGAATCTCTCAAATAATGAGCGAAATTGAAACAGTCAGTTTCTCTCAAGCAGATCTGTGCCACATGATTCAAAATCATGTTGGAACCTTCAGCAAGAGCAAGAACTGGTTTCCATGGCAGCACACAGATTTGTGCAATGAAACGGGTCGCCTCTTTTTCCAAGAGGTGTTGGATATTAATTTGAATAAGTGACATTTTTAAGAACAGAAAGTGTCTGCTTTTACATTTTTATCCTCGTGTAATAAGGCAAAGTAAAGGGGGGGGGGATGCCACAATGGAAGCTGTGGAGAGCCTGAAGACAAAGAGCTGATCTCCAGTTTCCGGAGCACAAGGCAGCTTTTCATGCAAGTACACTCTCTGGTCAGGATGTCGTCTGCTTCAGGGCTTCACTGTTTTCCACTGTTTTGTTGCTGAATGCAAATCAGTCGGGGATCAGGCCCCTATTTTCACTTTGCTACGACCATCAGTACTAACTTTATGATGCTCTGGTGGGTAAGCATCACTTCATTACAAAACAAAATGCTGAAACTGCAACTGCCAGATCTTATCAAACAATATCAATGTGCCAATCTTAAAATTCCTGCATCTATGTGCCAAAATAATTTAAAAAGCTTTCTCAGATGATCACCAAAGAGATGTTTAACATCACATATCCCTTATATCATGTGTGATTGTCCACATACTTTTGGCCAGGTAGTGTTCAGCCAGTTTCTCAAACTTTGTTACTGGGTATTAAAAATGTTACACTGGAAATCTGATTAACTAAATGAGAGGAACTTAGATCCTTTGTTAAGTTTAGGAAAATATTAAAATCACACATTTCACATCCATGCTTTGTAACTTCAAGTCATTGATTAGTTTCCGGTTAAAAAAAACATCTCTACGAGATTTAATTAAAGTCATGCTAATACAGTCAATGAGAAGTTAACGACTTACTGATTCCTAAAACAGGAGGAACAACAAATGAGCTAAATGACTTTAAAGACCACAAACACACATTCACAATACACTTACACTCTCACGAGCTTCTGTTCTACTAACAAACCCTGAGCTTGTAGGTTTAATTTAAAGTCTCAAATTAGGCACAAACTCATGAAATGATCTCATTTTATTTTCCTTCTTCAACCAGATTTGTCTTGTCTTGTATGTGTGCAGATTTTGAGGTGATTCTAGTTTATTACATTTCACATGTATGACTAGTGCTGGGTGGCATAACCAAAGATTTCTATCCTGATTCTGGCATTTTTATGTTATATCACAGTATTATTAATTTTAAAAAATATATATTTTGAATATAAAAAATTTTAAAGTCATCATGCATGTACTGAAGGCTTTTCTTGGCCCCATAAACTGATAAAATATATGAAGGAATCAAAATGCATGAAACAGTTGCACAATGTAAACAATTTTTATTGTGCAACCTGCAACTTATAAATTAAGTAAATACAGCTTAAAAATGAAATAGATATGACATGTTTTCCTTTTCAAAACAAAATATTTTAAAGTAGTTGTATAAACACAACTGACATTAAATAATCCAAATATTTAAGTATTCAAAGAGATATTTCTCAAATGTTCTATTGCACAAGAAACGAATGAGTTACAGCAGTTGTTTAACTATGCAGTGGTATGGCGGTATATGAAATATCACATGGGAAATAAAAAACAGTGTACAGGTTCATCCGGTATATCGCCCAGCACTATGTATGAGTAAATGGAAAGGTCCTAGACAGTTACTGCCCTTCAGCTCTGTAAAGAGGAGTAGACTTGTTGTCTCTGGGGTTTTAAAGTCTATTATGGGTTTGACCTGTGGCACTTTACAGGGACATTACTCAATATAATCAATGCTTATGCACTATTCAAAAGCAAAGTAGCACTCTGAAGTGGAGTCTTTAAGTGGGGTCTTGGGTTAAAAAAGAAAATCCAAATACTGAATCACAGTGTTATGAAATCATATTGAAGGTCCAGTGTGTAACATTTAGGAGGAACTACTGGCAGAAATGAAAGACAATATTCATAGGTATGTTTTCATTAATACAGTATAACCTGAATATAGGAATCGTTGTGTTTTCGTTTCCTTAGAAAAGACGTTTTTATCTGGACCTATTATCGTCTTCCATGGAGTCTGCCATGTTGTCTCTACCGTATCTGTAGAATTGTTTTTTTCGTGAGTTTTGCAGCCACTGTAGTTTCTCGTAAACACTTCACAGCCTGTTCTAAATCCTACACACTGTTCCTTCAAGGTATTGTGATACACAGTCAGTCTACAAATGTCACACAAAATTTTATCTAAAGAGCACACTTCAACTTTCTGGATTATCATGCAGTTTAATGAGGATGAATTAAGTATTTTAAAGCTATTTGTATGTTAGAAGATATCATTATTTATGGTTGTGTGTTCTGAGCAGTGATCCAGTGGTGCAACAAAAGATAGAAGTCACGATATCCTCACCTGGCGTCCGTTGCCTTTTGAGGCCTGGAGGCTGCAGCGTCCCAGGCTGCCGTTCGGTGTGGTGCCGCAGCTGCTGATGATCTGCAGCTGTTTTTCGGCGCGGTCCGCTCGGTCCAGGAGCTCCTCAATGAACTGCTGCAGCCGCACTTTGGCATTGGCTTCACGTGCCGCCGTCTCCTGAAGGAACTGGTCAATCTGGGCGACTTCCCTGAGGGCAGAGAGGGGAACGGCAGTATTAATGGGACATTCTTTAAACCCCGTGGTACGCTCTCTTATAGTTTATTTGTAAATCTCATCAAGTCTCATCAGGGGGCAAACGACAGATCTGCTGAACCAATGAACAAATGGTCCTTGTTTGACTACAGGACACATTTTTTAAAAAAAACTCTCTCACATTCACACCAGCTGCCGTCCTGCCCTTTTTGCATGGGGACTACACACACCAAGGGTTGGTGACAGAGATAAATACACTATACAGACACAAAGGGAGGGAGAAAGAAAGAGAGAGCGAGAGAGAGAGGAGGAATTGAGGGTGAGAGAGCAGCTGGATATTTATACAACCGCAGGCACAGCAGGGCCAAGTTCCCGTCATTTTAAGGGACAGTGTGTTACTCAGATGTAGAGGCAAACAAACCAGGAATTCAGACAGTGTTAGTAGTTGTCTGCAGCCCGCTCGGCGAACTTTATATGTCTGGCGTTCCCTGCAGTGATTTTTTTTCAGTGTCATCTGATCAGAAATGGTCTGGTGATTAAAATTCCTAAACGTTCAGATGTAATTAGTCAGATCATATTAACTCAATAAGTTCAAGCTTGGATTATGAATTATATAAGTAGAATCTAATGTCCAGCACCATTAAGCGGTCTCTGCATTGATGGGAACTGGCCTTGACTTGTCCAAATCCGCCACAAGGAAGTGAAACCAAAAAGATAATGTCAATGGAATATGTTACTGATTACTTTAGTGATAGCTGCCACAATGAAACAGACAAATACACTTGATGAATGTCACTTCTGTCCTCATCACATCACTGTTTATCCTTTAAACCTGCAATAACTGATTTTTCTTTTTTATTTGGCCACTTGGGGGCAGCGGAAACAAGTTACGAATACAACACTGAAATAATAACACCTTTTAAGTTGATATGGCAAACAGCTGCTTATTTACACATCCAGCAGTTACTAATGTTCACATCCAGACAAACCTTTTCATATCTGAATATCTTGTCACCAGCCAAGCTAACATCCCACACACTCCTCTACAGAACTTTCCTTTTTCTTTTTATGCTTGTTAATGCGGAACTGTCTCCATATGGGACTTCTATAATTCCCAGAACCTGTAGACATCCTCCAGGCGTTTTTTCTCTCTAATGTATCTCTGTTTGTGTCCTCATAAACAGCCTAAGCCTTTACTCTCTAAACAGTGCAGTAAGGAGAGCTTAACAAGGCAATTCAGACATCTGACCTTGACAAAGCCAAAGGAACCATTAAAAGGTTCAGACCGTCACTGCAGACAGTGAACTGGGACATAAAATCTATGTCCCTCCAGTTTAAATAGGTTTGTGCTCATGAAACAGACCAAGCCGCTCATCAGGATGGATACTTTTATGTTCCACTAATGTCAAACATCCACTACTACTAACCACTATACAGTGCAGAGTCCATCCAAAAACAGTAACAGCACTCAAAGGGAATTTTCTTGAAATGGGGGCATTCTATGATAAAAATAGTTTAGCGTCTGGCACAGTTAACTCTTCTTATCTTCAGGCAAAGATTACAAAAATATGACTCCAAAATTAGTCTAGGTGTTTGACCGTAGGGCAGAAAGGAAAGCACACAAATATGTGAGTAAACAGTCAGTGAATCAGTAACTGATATCAAAATGAAATGGCCACAGCTTCTTCTGTGATCAATCCCGTTTAGAGTTTGTCTCTTGGTAATTGCTTATAATGTGGGATAACATGATTTTTATCACCCAAATACAATTGGCTGGAAAGTGATTGAAAGAGGCCTTTTACTGTACACTGTCTCCACTGCTGGATAAGGCACTTCTCCCTGTGGAAACTTGCAGAGAAAACATGAAGGATTTGTGTGTTTGTTTGTTATAAACTGACTCAGCTCCAAGCTCTTCCATCCAACTCATCCTCATCAAACTATGAACTCTCGTCTCTACTTCTGGCAAAAAGAAAAGGGGAATTTCAACACCCAGCCAACACATCAGAAAGACTGTATCAACAGGGTTCTCTCAGGGACAAAGTGAAGATACAGACAGGAGGCAGGGGTCTGGTTTTAACCACCTGAAGGGGCATAATGGGCAGTATCAATCAAGGCCACCGAAGCCAGAACCAACTTCGAGAACACCTGTCATACCCACCAAAAAGAGTGAAGTGAACTGAAATAATGAGCTTCAAAATGCAACAATGCTTCATAGAGCTGAGGGAAAGAGTTGAGTGATAATTGAGTGATAATTATCTTTGGGTTCATCACAATGAAAAACCATTTTCACTATAGTAATTTGATCCATTGTTAGCATAAACATATTATAGAATACAGCTTTAAGCTCTCATCATTATCCACTTTACACTTACCTCTTGTGCATTTATCATCTTTTTTAATTCATTTGAAATAAGTTTCTCTAATTTCAATGTTTGTTTCCTGTTTTTTTTCTTTTGTGTATTAAATGTTCTACACAAATAAACTAGCCTAAATGAGGGATAGAATGAAGGATAGTTGAACTTGGCACTGATAATAATTTACATGCTTTGTGCAATATAAATGCAATATTAGCTCTAATTGATAATCAGATTTACATTTACAAAACTCAAAGTCAATATCAAAACTGACACAGGATTGCAGAGATAAAACATATGAACTTCCTGCAAAAAGTTCACGCAAATTTTAAGCACTTTTTGGTGAATTGTTGTAGAGTTGAGGCTTGTGAGACTATTATGCACATTATAGGTGTTGAAGTTGTCATGTCAACATAACATGCATTAGCAAACTTCGCTGCAGGTTAAACCATTGATTCATCCTACTGTATATGATGCATCTCGTTACAGCGCAATATTAATTAGCACGAGTATCATTTATTTTGACTTAATGATTGGAGCTGTACCTAATGTATGATTAAGCAGCCTGAAGCTAAAGTTCTGCTCTCATTATTCAAGTTAATAAACGGGGAACAGTGAGACTGAGCACTGTTTTAAGTTCACCCTCTGGTATAATAACATATAGCTACCTCACAACTGCTATAAATAGAGTAGCTTGTAGGTTTGTATGTACTGTACACTAAGCCATTAGTGTTTTGGCATGCAAATTGTAAAGCATCTGCAATTTGTCTTCGCTAATTACTCAACTGTATCAGATTTTTCTTGTTACAGGAGAAAGATCCCAAGAGGAGGAACATGAAGGAACACAGGAAAGCCTTTTCTTCTCTTTCTTTGTGTAAGGAAGAAATTCACAGATACACCAGACTGCCTGGAAGCCTAACCACTCATCCTTAAGAAGAGGGAAGGGAATCAGGAATTGGATCGAAAGACCGAAATATATGTGTTGGAGGGTGGGCAGAGGGGGAGAGAAGAGAAAAAAAAATATCTCCACCAGATCCCAGGAGACATAAGAGGAGAATGATAGAAATAAAGAGGAGAGAAAAAAACAGAGGACTGAAGCTGATAAAAGCCCATGAAGAGCGGAGAACGGGCACAGAGAAGCGAAAACACTGCAGAGGCTAAAGCAACAGACAGCAAACAGAAAATCTGCAGTCATGTTGAAGCAGAAAGCACAGGAGGTTTGACAGAGGAGGGGAGAGAAATGGGATGTGGCTGCTTCCTGTTGTCAATCCTAATTTCCACACACACACAGATGGATACACACACACACATACCTCGCTCTCACAGCGTGACTCACTCCCTTACTCCGACACCTCTGAAATAAAGCCTCAAGGTGACAAACATGCCTGTTTGTTTACCCGGACGCTGAGGAAGCGAGGAAAGGCAGACCGCCATCTTTTCTGGGTGATGAACATGCAGGTTGTTAGTCCGGGGCATGATTCAGAGAAAATGACTCGGCGGTGGTTCCACGCTCATCGACACCGATCATGTTCGTGGGTGAGGGGAAACCACATATTTGTGACCCTCGTGCTTACAGTTTGCTGATGGGGCCCACAGAGTTTTGTTTCCTCTCTATTTTTGTTTCCATCTCACACACACCCACACACACACTCAACATTCAGATACTGACTTTATAATCCACACATAAACTTCGCTGTGAAGTTGTTCAGAGGCAACAGCACACAAATTCATATTTTCTAAAAACAAACCTAGCTTCAAAAGTTTGGGACCTTGTAACAAAACTATAAATATGTGGCTGGAGAAAGCAGCTTAGCATTAAAACTAGAAACAGTGGGAAACAGCAAGCCTGGCTCTGTCCAAAGGTAACAGAATAATATTATAATAATTGTATTTATATAACACTTTCAAGCAGTAAGCTTTCCAAGGTCGATTAAAACATAAGCAAGCACCTACCAACACCTCACTAATTAACACGTACTGACTGTTTAACAAGTATAAAAATGACAGTTCACCAATTAATGCAGGGTTATGTGCTGAGTAAAGTACACCAGATGCAGTGTTAAGCCATTAATTCCTTGCAGATATCAAATGTGTGTACAACAAGACTTTGGTCAACAAGGGTTGTTTTAAATGTGCTTTATACATAAATATGATTTGATTGCACAGAGGAAGCAGGTCCTCTTCCACGGAGTCTGTGTTGTTTCTACAGTAGGCCAGAATAGACAAACCAAACACTGGCTCGAGATAGGATTGTGTTTTTTCAACCACTGTAGTTTCCCCTACATGCTCGAACCGCGGAGGGGCGCTAGATGCCACCTACACCTACTAGACCTACTATTGCACAACCTACCAACTCCCCATTATCATCATCACCTCCAGGATGTTCAGGAGTTTCCATCATCCCCCTGCTGCCTTCATTCCACCACCAGCATCGGGACTCCTGGGAGATCCTGTCCTATCTCCTATCTTAATATTATTACACACTTCCAATTGATCTGTCTGTATTGGATTAAATATCATATACAAGAACTAAGCTCCAATGCAAACAATGTGCCTCACTAAATCCTCACATGAACACTAACACACAACAGTTGAGATACAATCAATGCCACTGATTAAAAAGAATAAGGTCATAGCACTA